ATATGCTTAATCAGTATATTAAGTATCATACTTAAATAAACTGAGGGAACCTGAATTTATCGTGAGAAATTACTTTTAAAATTGTTCATTATCTACAAATACAGTTTAACCTATATTTTGATATTTTAAATAATTATGTGATATTGAGTTTCCAGTAAAAGATCAGTAAAAGACTAAGAGTGTATTTCTTTTTCTGAAGTCTGTAGAAATGAAGAAAGAAACAACGATCTGAGAAGGACATGCCATTTATAATAGAGCTAAGAAATGGCTATATTCCCACTGAGGAGGAATAACTGTCTGACAGAGAAATTTGGATCAAACTGAGTTCCTCAACAGGGTATGAATGTCTCTGAAAAGGAAAAGCTCCTGGAGGCCTAATCAAATATTACTTAGATCCCGGACTGGGGGCTCAGGTTGAGAAACGAGAATCTCATTCACAGCGATAAAGCTGAAAGAGGAACAGGGCTGTCAGCTGTGGCAAAGCAGGCATCTGTACTTTCCCTGACAAATCTGGATAAACTGCCTAGAAGTAGCTAACGGAAGGGAAGTAGCAACCAAGTTTGGTGCTCCTCAACATAGTTAACTAAGCAGAAATAATTAAAGCCCCATGCAAAAAAAGCTGTGAGCTGGAACCCTTCACAAACAGCCTCAGTCTTTATCAGCTCTGCTCACCAGGGCTAGAAATGTGCCACTAGGGAAAACCTGGTGAAAGATTTTTGAAAAACATCTGTTTAGGTGTCTAGAGACACACTTTACCCCATTCTACATCATTTTTGAGCAAACTGCAAACTAGAAGCTATGTGAATGCAACTGTTTCCATTCAGTGAGTTATAGAAGCAGAAAGGATTCATTCAACATGGGACCTATACATAGGTAGCAGCAAAAAAAAAAAAAAAAAGCCAAGGAAAAAAATTTCAAATATGTCTTTATATTTTTCAAAAGGAAAAGGAAAAACTCAAAAATGGGATATAAGAAAAACTAGATAAAAAACAAAGTAGTGAACAGGGAAATAAACGGTAAGAGAGCCTCCATAATAAGAGAAAACACAACAGGCTTGAGACTGCTATTTTTAGAAAGGCCTGCTTGCAAGGTCAACCCTTGGCTGGCATCTGGAAACATGACTGGGAAACAGTTCCCAGCACTGACTGAAAAACTTCCATAATGATAAGAGTAGATTATTGTTCCTAAATGTTTGTACAAGCAATGTGCTTTGTTCTGAACACCTGTTTTCCTTTTGGGAGCCTGAAATTTTGGTACATGCTGGCCAGAGGGTGCCAACATGACCAGCGCCCGATAAAAAAACTTGGCCACTGAGTCTCAAATGAGCTTCCCTCCTAGACAACTATTTCACTCTCATCACAATTCGTTGCTAGAGGAATTAAGCATAACCTAGGAACTCTGTGGGGGAGAGGTCTCTTGGAAGCTTGTGCCTGGCTTCCTCCAGACTTTGCCCCATGTACCCTTCCCTCTGCAGATTTTGTTTTGTGTCCTTTCCTATAATAAATCTTCACCAGGAGCACAACTACGTGATGAGTCCTGTGAGTCCTTCTAGTCAATCACCAACACAGGGGGTACCTGCACTGGAAATCCAACCTATAGTCCTAGTGGTTATTTTTTTAAGATTTTATTTATTCATTTGAGAGAGAGACAGAGAGAGGGAGCACGTGAGCGCAGGGGGAGGGGCAAAGGGAGAAGGAGAAGCAGATTGCCCACTGAGCAAAGAGGCCGAGGGTGGGGGGGGGGGACACTCACGGGGCATGATCCCAGACCTGAGCTGGAGGCAGAGACACTTAACCTACTGAGCCACCCAGACGCCCTCTAGTGTTCTTATAGAGAATACAGAAAAATAGTCACAGAAATACTGGCCGACTTTTAACTAAAAAGTTACAGTTTCATTAAAAAATAAGAGAGAATGGTCATAATCAAGCTATATCCTAGCCCAGTTTCTAAAGTTAAATGATGGAGAATTTGTAGATCTCCAAGCGAAAACTAAGATGCTGTTGGCGGGGGGCCTCTGATTTTTTCTTCACAGCAACACCTAATGCCTTAACATTGTGAAAGCAAGGTCTACAAAGTGCTAAGGGAAATAACATGGAACCTGAAAGTACTATAATCGGCCAATCTATTGTTTAAATATAAAGGCAACAGGCAATTCACCAGCAAGAAAGCAAATACTTTGGAGATGAGAATACTTACTTTGGAACGGGAAACAGGTGCTGCAGACCTGATAAATTACTATACTCACCAACCAAGACAGTAATCAGGACAAAGAACTCAGGAATGAACTACTGGGACTAAAAGCAAGCACAGCATCCATTTGAACTGTGCTTCTAGAATAACAATGTTATAAGCCTGTGCAATGCTTAAAGAACTAACACAGTAAAAAACTGGCTGGTGGAGGTTTTAGGGGATAAAATTTAAGTGTAAGTACTTCCTCATTTTTCATAGTGGAAAGTCATAAAAATGGTAATAGTGATAACGAGTTTTAAAAACAAAAAAGAATTGACTTGCTCCTTTTAGAAGTGAAAGGTAGGTAGGTGAATCTATAATCCTAGATGATTTTTTAATACTTTCCTCTCATAACCCATCATTTGTGTTTTATTGTTCACTAACATTCTAATGAGTATCTAGATCACTACAAATAGGATGAAAGGGTATTAAATTCAGAAAATAATTAAAGTTAAATCATCTAAATACTTTAAAAGAGCTAGCATGGCCAGTATTAGCAAGAATGAAAGACTGAGAATTTCTCATATATTGCTAGAAACATTAACTGGTAAAACTTTTTAGAAGGCAGTATGTCTCAAACTAAAATATGCACAGACCAGTGAACCAGTGATTCCATGTTGTACCAATTTATCCTGTAGACATGCTTACACAAGTTCACAAAGAAACATCCTTAGAATATTCACTGTTGGTAATAATGAAAAACAGGAAAAAATTAAACATCCATCAGTAGAGTGATGAAAAAATGTTTAAAAAGTATGCAGATATTAAAAAGAATGAAATAAGGGCGCCTGGGTGGCTCAGTCATTAAGCGTTTGCCTTCAGCTCAGGTCATGATCCCAGGGTCCTGGGATCGAGCCCCGCATCGGGCTCCCTGCTTGGCAGGAGGCCTGCTTCTCCCTCTCCCACTCCCCCTGTTTGTGTTCCCTCTCTCGCTGTGTCTCTGTCAAATAAATAAAATCTTAAAAATAATAAAATAAAAATAAAAATAATGAAATAGGGGCACCTGGGTGGCTCAGTCAGTTAAGCATCTGCCTTCGGCTCAGGTCATGATCCCAGGGTCCTGGGATTAAGCCGAGTCCAACTCCCGTCTCAGGGGGAAGCCTGCTTCTGCCTCTCCCTTTGCCCCTCTACCCCACGCCCGACTCCTGTACTCTCACTCAAATAAAATCTTTTAAAAAAATAAAATAAAAAGAATGAAATACATTATATAGAATCAGGGAGAATTATGGACAGCTCTCTACCTCGACTGAGGTGGGTCTTGGCTACACAGCTGTACAAATTTGGGGAAACTCAGCAAATGGTACACTTAAATGAGATCTCTCCATTTCACTGTCTACAAAATTCACCTCGGGGCGCCTGGGTCGCTCAGTCATTAATCGTCTGCCTTCAGCTCAGGTTATGATCCCAGGGTCCTGGGATCGAGCCCCGCATCGGGCTCCCTGCTCTCCCACTCCCCCTGCTTGTGTTCCCTCTCTCGCTGTGTCTCTGTCAAATAAATAAAATATTTAAAAAAATAAAATTTCATCTTAAGAAACAGAATAAGGAACTCACAAAATCTTTTTTTTTTTAATTGCAAAAGGAATACATGCTTATAGTAAAAATAACACAAATGTTACAAGTGAAAATCTCTTAACCCTTTTCTCCCAATCCAACCTCTTCAGAGTTAACCACTCAAAATTAACCTCTGTTAATAGTTAGGTATGTTAAAGCTTTTGGGCTTTTTTTCTAGGGCGCGTGGGTGGTTCAATTGGTTAAGCGACTGCCTTCAGCTCAGGTCACGATCCTGGAGTCCCAGGATCGAGTCCTGCATCGGGCTCCCTGCTCAGCAGGGAGTCTGCTTCTCCCTCTGACCCTCTTCCCTCTCATGCTCTCTATCTCTCATTCTCTCTCTCTCAAATAAATAAATAAAATCTTTAAAAAAAAAAAAAAGCTTTTGGGCTTTTTTCTATATATAAGTAAATATACATAAATGTGTAGTTTTTTGTAATTGCAAGAAAAAGTGTAATTATCCTATACATGGCAGCCTCCTTTTGATACTTAATTGTGACTATCTTCTCTTATTGGTACATATAATTCTCTCCCATTAAAGTCCATATAATAATCCACTGCACAATAAACCATAATTTACTGAACCACTGTTTTACTACTGACCACTAATTTTCAAGCTTTAACAAAATGAGCATTTTTCTACTTATTATAATTCGTAGGGGCATAAAAAAAATTAAACCGTAATTAGGGATTTAAAAATATTCCTTTGGAATTGAACTCCATTAAAATATGACGGCTTTCCCCCACCTCCAATTTTCAAACATATGCCTTACAAATACATAAATGAGAACAATGCCTGTTCTACTCATAGAATATACATAGTAATTTAACCTAACTGTGAATAAAATTTTACAAACACAACAGCTATGAAAGTAGGAAATATGTTATTTTGTATTTTTTGTGGCAGCTCAAAAACAGATTTAAATTAGCAGTGGAATCTCTTAATACATATAAACAAATGAAGTTTCTTACTAAGGAGGAAAAACCACCAATCACCATACCAAATGTACCTTAAAATGCATTATTTTCAAGGAACCTGGGTCCATTCCAAGTCTTTTGTAATATCTTCCATGATAGAATATGAAGTTGCATTTATGAATTTGTGAACTGTCTATATGAAGTTGCTAATAATAGAGAAACTTAGGATTATCACCAAACAGTAAGAAAAAAACCTGTGACAAATTTTTAGAAGAATTTAATTTGAAAATGAAATAGTCACAAACCTAGGTCCAATAACAGGAATAAGTAAGACATCCTGAAGGTCTGGATGTTGAAGAATAGGAACACTTAATCCATTAAACTGCTGTTAAAAATAAACAGAATTATGAAGCCATCAATGTAATTGATAAATTTCAATTTACAGGTCCTTTCATTGTTATTACCTAGCAGAGCATGAAGCTTGGTTTAGGATATTCTCACTTTATTCCACATAATACTATAAAAAACAAAGATTTCAAAACAATTATGTTTTCCTCTGTATTTTCTGAAGTATCTCAATTTCTTTATAAGGTTCAATTTTGTTTACAGTATGGCTTTATAAAAGACAACCCATGTTTACCTTAAGTGACTTATTTTGATAATACATATCCAATATAGAATTGCATATAGTACTTTTTTTTTTTTTTTTTTATTTGAGAGAGAAGGAGAGAGAGCTAGAGAGGGAGCACAAGCAGGGGGAGTGAGAGAAGGAGAAGCAGGCTTCCCGCAGAGCAGGGAGCCCGATGCGGGGCTCCGTCCCAGGACCCCGGGATCATGACCTGAGCCGAAGGCAGCAGCTTAACGACTGAGCCACCCAGGTGCCCCTACAGTACATTTTTTTTTTTTAAAGATTTTATTTATTTGACAGAGAGAGACACAGCAAGAGAGGGAACACAAGCAGGGGGACTGAGAGAGGGAAAAGCAGAATTCCCGCTGAGCAGGGAGCCTGACGTGGGGCTCGATCCCAGGACCCTGGATCATGACCTGAGCCAAAGGCAGACACCCAAGGACTGAGCCACCCAGGCGCCCCCTTATAGTACACTTCTAAGGAAAAGTTCTGAATAGGACATTAAGGATTGAGATTATTAAAAACTATTATATACCACTAATACTGAATGCCATGTCAGCTTTGCTGAGGGAAATAAATGCTTTTTGGCAAAAGTTCAGGATTTTCAGTATCCTCTATCATACTTGGTCTTCAGACTAGAAATGGGTGCATGACCAGGAGTATAGGTGCCAAGGCCAGCTCACACAGTCTCAGGAGAACCAATTATGTGCATCTCTGGCCAATTTCAAGGTCACACTGGCAGCTTGATTTGACCACAGTGGGAGTATTTACACCACTGAAATCAGCAAATGCTACAAAGGGTTGTTTTTCCCAGAAAGTGGATTTTTCGATATGTACCAGCACACCACTGTTGCTGGCAGAAAATAACTGGGCACTGCACTTATCAGAATAAAAAGCAGAATAGTGGAATGGATAGCAAGGACACTATAGTCTAAGGGCGAGCAACATGCAAATATTTCAGAACAAGTCTCTGCCATGTAGGCTAGGGATTTTAAATCATGAATTTTCACATACTACATGAAAGAACAGTAACAATAGATATTTCCATTGCCCTGTGGTATCCATACACTACCTAGAAAAACTCTTAAAATCAATTTATTTCCAAGTTGATAAGAGAAAAAATTTGTATTTTAGCAATCTATATATCTACCAAGTCAACAGCTCTGACTTTTGCTTCTTCCAGGCAAAGGAGATTTCAGACCAACCTTACCTAATAGATGGCTACTAAGAAATCTGAAATGTAAGTAAGGGCGCCTGAGTGGCTCAGTCAGTTAAGCGTCTGCCTTCGGCTCAGGTCATGGGGATCGAGCCCCGCATCAGGCTCCCTGCTCTGCCTATCGAGGGCTTACGACCCAACCTTCTCTGTCTACTCTTAACCTTTGAGGGACTCAAAGTCCACCCAGAGTGGACTTCTGGATACATTCTGTATGCCTTATCCTAGATACTTGTCTGTAAGATCATATAGGCCCATTAGACTGGAATACAATATCTAGGTTCTAGGAATAATTTGTTAGAAAACAAAATAATCTGGATCTGTGTGAGTTATGGACACTTGTGACGGGCCTCAGAACACTCTCCTTTCTACTAGTTGAGAACATATGCATAACCACATAAAAGTAATAATTTTAGTTGCCTAGAGGAACTGCTTATATTTTATGCCTTATGACATTACTCTCAATAAAATTATCACTATCAATTATTCAAAATCAGATTAGTTTTCTTCTAAGTCTTATTATATAAAATTTGGTCTCACATACTCAGATACCATAGCTGATCATTCTTATAACATGGTCATCTACTCACAACTTAAAATTTATAAAACTGTTCTTAAAGATAGTATGACAAACATTCTATAAATGTAATGAGATTACAGGCACCTGGGTGGCTCAGTCGGTTAAGCGTCCAACTCTTGATTTTGGCTCAGGTCATGATCTCAGGGTCGTGAGATCAAGCCCTGCCTCAGGCTCCACACTAAGCGTGGAGCCTGCTTACCCCTCTCCCTCTGCTCCTCCCTGCTACCCCCCTCAACTCATACATGCGCGCTCTCTCTTCCCCAAATAAACAGATAAAATTCTTAAAACAAAAATATAAATAAAAATAAATGTAATGAGATTAAAGAATAATAAAACTAAACCAGTGATAATTCTCTGAAGATTTCTTAGTATTATATCAAGAGGAGTAACACAGCCTATAATATACAAATACAAGCCCTTTAATCATGCTTGCCTCTTGCTTTTAATTTAGATACTAATTAGGTAACTTATTACAAAAATCAGGCTTTCAAGGTTAGAATGTTTTCTATGTATTTTCATATGTATTCTATGTATTTTCATATGTATTTTAATGATGAAGTAACTGAGGCCCAGAAGGGCCGAGTGACCTATTCAGTCACTATAATAAATTCAGAATCAGGAGTGCTAGGTTCAAGTTCTTAACATTACCTCTAACATTACCACCTGGACAACTTAATTCGAGATCTTCGATTTCCTTATTTGTAAAATTGGAATAGTATTTTAAATTCATAGGATTTTAGTGGGGAGCAACATGACATAGAAATGCAATTATGGACATAAATAATAGCAAATTTGCACATACCTTCTGAAGTTCATCAAACAACAGATCTTTTACATGTTGCACTGAGGCTAGATGTGTATTTACTCTGACAGTTGTGAATGATGGAGGATGTGACAAGTGATTTAACAGAGTTTCAAATTTCCTTTCTGCTTCTTGTTTCCCAAAAGCAGATACAACCTGAAAACAGGAAAACAAGTTAATGGTTTTTTTTTTTTATTTTAAAGATTTTTTATTTATTTGACAGAGAGACACAGCGAGAGAAGGAACACAAGCAGGGGGAGTGGGAGAGGGAGAAGCAGGCTTCCCGCAGGGCAGGGAGCCCGATGTGGGGCTCGATCCCAGGACCCTGGGACCATGACCCGAGCCAAAGGCAGACACTTAACAACTAAGCCACCCAGGCGCCCCAACAAGTTAATTTTTATAATGACATTGAAACATTAACTAAAAATATTAAGCATATTATGCACACACATTTGTTCTAATGAAACATCTTTCAGCAATTGTTCAGTTCCACTTCATTTTGCTGTATTGTTTCGTGTGTTAATAACACTAAAAGAATGGAATACTTCACAGGGTTTTGGAGTTTAATTGTGGTAATAAACACCTAACAAAATGCCCAACATAAAGGGCTTGGAAAAAACACTGCCTCAACTTCAGAGCATTATTAACATTTTGAACATATTAATGTCTGCTATGCTTATTTATATAATTCATGATTTTATTCTATTTACATCAAATATCGTTTTGTACAGCTATTTACTTGCTAGCCTCATACCTAGAACAAATTCATTAGCAGCCTTTTAAAACACCAATATTTGAATAAGTAACACTGATACTGTCTTCCAAAGGTCATCCACATCAGCTTTTTAATATGGTATTTTTAAATGTAACAAATATCATCCAAAAAGACAGGTAGCAAAGATAGCCTGTCAGAAGTGGAAGTTTAAAGATTCAAAAAACCAAGTCCCCCTGTGATTAACTGAAGCTTTAGGAGACATGTATTTTCCCATTTTTGTCATCTTTGACCGTACCCTGCCTCACAGCATCTTCATAAACCACCTGCCAGCCTACTAATCCACCAGCCTCAAAGTATTAGTACTTTCTCAAGTTTAGTTTGTTTTTATTAAAAACTGAATATATCTTTACCTCCGATACTTTTACAAAGGAATGGCTTTTTTGTAAAATCATTTACAGTTAGTGGGTTTGAGGCAGAGATGGTGTCAAAGACAGACATTTGGATCTTCTTCTGTAATACAATATTTACCATTTTAAAAATTATTGAGAAAAATTGCTGAATGCCTCTCTTTCTCTTAATATGCTTATATGTTTAGTTCTTTGAAACCAAGAGAAGATATTTTCTCTTTCCATACTCTATAATCCCTTTAATGTAATCTTTGGAAATAAAATGTAGAAATCAAACCTAAAAAGTCGTAGCTTCAGTAATAGCTTCATACACAAATAACATTTAAGTCTTAAGACTTTACTTTGAATAAGAAAAGCAAAGATTTAGAAAATACAAAGTTGCCTAGAGGCAGGATAGTAAAATGTAAAGAGCACAAGCTTGCAATCAAAGATAACATTCACTGAGGACTTCTGTGCTAGACACTGCTAATAGCACGTGGAATGAGTATTTGTTGAGGACTAATGTGCCAGAACAATAACAGCTGCATTCACTTATGGTTAACACTTTAAAATAACCTCGTAAGGTAAATACTTTTAACATCCTCAGTTTCCACAGAAAAGGAAATTAAAGTTAAATGGTATGAAATAATTTACGCAAAGCACAGGGACACAAATCAAGGACCTGGGATTCTAAATCTGTATTTTTTCATTATACCTGAGCTCTTCAGCTTCAGATTTGTCCCTATTACTTGATAGCGGTGTCATTTTGGGTCAGCTACAGGACTCTTTGGACCCTCGGCTCTCTCACCTATTAAAACGGAGAAGAAATGTCTACCAAAAAAAAAAAGAGAGAGAGAGAGAGAGATTGCTAATATTAAGATGTAGTCTGCAAATCACCTAGCACAACTAGTGGCATTTAAGAGGCATTAACACATTACAGTACCCCTTTCACCTGAGTGCCACAGCAAGCGCTTTAAGAGCACGGGTGTATCTTCTCCACTGGACTTAAATTCTCGAGAACAGGAATCTTTTCCCCCTTGTTCTTGTAACCCCTTCAGTGCCATGCCTACTGCCACACACATAACCTCTCTTTTCCCTTCCCTTCTTTCACATTCGTTAAGTGTTGAAACGTAGACCTCATTCACCTCTTATCTCGCAAACATTAAATACCCGGGGGAAGATACGGGCAGTTTTTACATTCGGAAAAAAAGAGTGGTAAACAATGGTGTAAAGATTAGGTCTCGCTTTAGGTTTTTTTCCCCCCTATTTCTCCAGCGTGTGTAAACATTCGAAAACTTGCAAATATCATCTAACAGGCTTATTTTACCTACCTCCTTATTCATAAAACCCTCTTTAAGATACTTTTCAACCTCAAGTCTCAAAGATATTTTAGGGAAAATGGACATTTTCCCTATTGTTTTGTTCTCCTCCAAGAAAAATGCTGGAAAACGGTGATTTTTTTTCTTTCCGAATTAACAGTTAGCAGCGTCTTGACAATGAATAGCTACCCACACGTGCCAGGACCACCAGACGGCCAGGAAAATCGCGCCGCTCTTTCCAAGTTATATTCGGGATTGCGGAGGTACATCCATGCTTTCTTCAGCGTAGCCAGTTTAGAGCGCCTTCCTCGCCTCCACCACACCCGTCCTTGATCCTTCTTTAGAGACGCTCACGGAAATCACTGTGAGGCCACGTCCCTCATGCTGCAGAGAATACACAGGAAGAAAAAAAAAAAAATTGAGAAGCTAATCCGTTGCGAACTGGCTTGGAAAATAGACCGGCCTCTATTCGCTCACATTCACCCTTCAGACCTCTTTTCAAAACCGCGCCCCCAATTTCTCTGCAGAAAGCCGCTTCCGGCTTGCGTCACTTCCGGCGACGCGTCCCGCCCTCCCTGGTTCCCCAATCCGCAACCGCAAACGGTCGTACGTCAGGTCACCGGAATTTCCGAGCTCCGCTGGCTGCTCGTCCACGTGCAGGTGGTTTTCTGGGCGTTCGAGGAGGGAGGGGCGGCCGCCTGGGGGAGCCTCCTGATCCAGCGCCTGGAGTGGGTGCCAGGGGAAATTAGGAAATGGTGTGGGCGAAATCGAAGGCTTTGCTGGCCTAAGTTGAGAGGTCCGGTTAGTTACCTGCTAGTTGACCTCTGACGAAAGGAGGAAGCCAGAGATTATTTGAACCTATAAGCCACCCTTTGATTTCAGAAATTACTTTATCTCTCGGAGGCATACTAATCTGACTTCAGCTGTGAATGAACGCCATTATTCAAATTTTTGAAAACTGGGTTAATACCTATGAATGATCAGTTAAAACTTAAAAACCCGCATATAGTATTTACAGTTAGTTGAATGAGGCTAGCGGTTACCTGTATCACAGCTGAGTTATTAAGGCTCCGAGACCCTTGGCATAATTTATGTGTTACAGATGAAGGAAAAGATTCGAAAGGAGAAGATGCCTAATGAAAGACATTTTATGATTGAATAGGAAACTAAAAATAATTGTCTCCTTGCCTTATATTTTTGTTTTTGCAGCTCACCGTGGCCATTTACATATAACTGCAGGAAAGGGTTTTTAAAGTCTTTAAGTCGCACACAGAGATGTCTAAAAAATGTAATAATTACTTAATATGATACGCCAACCAGGTTCTGTATAAAATATTTTAACTTACAGCCACACAACAACCCTGTAATGTGGTTATACCCTTTTTTTTTTTAAAGATTTTATTTATTTATTTGAGAGGGAGAGAATGAGAGATAGAGAGCACAAGAGGGAAGAGGGTCAGAGGGAGAAGCAGACTCCCTGCTGAGCAGGGAGCCCGATGCGGGACTTGATCTCGGGACTCCAGGATCATGACCTGAGCCGAAGGCAGTCGCTTAACCAACTGAGCCACCCAGGTGCCCCTGGTTATACCCTTTTATGAAAGAGTAAAACAAGGCTCCCAGAGCTGAAATAACTGTGGCCTCACGCTTGATTAGAAAGTGAGAATAAAGACCATAGCCACCTGCCTTCTAAGTACCAACTCTTTTCACCATGGCATACATACTTCTTCAGTAGGTTGAGGGGATGCTTTCATGGCTAAATCATCTAAAAGTGATTAGGAAAATGTCAAGGGGCACCTGGGTGGCTTAGTCCATTAAGACTGTTGGTTTCTGCTCAGGTTTCTGCTCAGATCCTCACCTCACATTCCACATTTTGAGCCCTGCATTGGGCTCCGCCCTCAGCCCAGAATTGGCCTAAGACTCCCTTTCCTTCTCCCCCTGCTCCTCCCCACTGTGCACGCGCCCCCCCACTCTAAAATAAGTAAATAAATCTCGAAAAAAATAAAAGTGATTAGGAAAATGGCTAGATTAGGCATTTCCAAAGGAATTTTTGAAGCCTCAACATCGTGACCATGGCAACAATAAAGGTTGGACTCTGTATTCAGGAGATAAGGGAGAAGAACAAGTGGGCTAGATTGTAAATTCCATGAGGGTAGACTTCATCTCATCACTGCCTACCCATTGCCTTAACAAGTAATAGACACTTAAATGTTAAATGACTAGATGAATAGATGGATGGGCATCTATGTGAACCAGAGGAAGAAAATGCTGATAAAGCATGTATTTGCTGGAAATTAGTTCACTAGTTAAGTACATGTGAAGAGTGCTGAGCACAGACTATTCTTGTCGACACTATTGTAGTGACAGTTATGTTGACGAAGATGCCTCTTGGTGTTCCAGGTTTGTGTCCAAGAAAAGCATAATACAAACCTGAAGTTGCCATGGTGCATATTGTCTAAGCAAAGGAAGACTCCTGTAGGAATACACCCACATAAGGGGTCATTTACGTTGTATTTTCTCAGTGGGGCGATATGGCCCCCAATGTGGGGGAGCAAAAAAATCTTAGTTATAATCTTAAATCTCAGTTTGTGGTGCTCCAAAGCTTAACTTTATCAAAAAACAAACATATTCCAAAATACTTACTTTCAGGAAAAAGATATGAGGGGATTAGGGAAAAAAAGTCTAGGAAAGCTGGAAAACTATCTCAGCTCATCTGGAGACTAAAGTCAAAGTGGACGTAATCATAAATGTGTAAGAGAGTTGTTTTTAAAGAGTAAATTTCATTCCTAGTTGGCAGAACATGCTGTCCCTGGACTTTTGGTTCGAGCCATGCATGCGATTTATCTTAGCTAACAGTAATAAATTGAATTCAATTCCTGCTGTAGCCAATCCTTCTTATTATCTGAAGTTAGTTTATAATTAGTTCCTTCTAAGGAATACAGTTTGTTTTTCATTTCCTAGTTGTTCAATGTTTCATTTTTTCCTTGAAATTTTTATTTTTTTGTTTTGCTCTAAATACAACACTTTTATCTTTTTCTTAAAATTTGTTGGAGAGAAAGATTACCAGCATTCCATTTTCATTAAAGGAAGTTATTTCCAATTAACACTTCAGAAAATAAGTTATAATCCTAACAATAGTATTATATTCCTTATTTATGACTTTTTTCTTATTTCATGAATTCAAAATATATTTGTATACAAATAGTAACATTTCATAGAACAGTTACCTTCTTTGGATCAAAAGCTACACTGAAATTAGTTTTAAGAAAAATTTAAAGGGATGTTTTCAGAAAAAATGAATAAAGGTGTTATGTTTTAAGTGCTATATTTAAAAAGTATATGAGTCGGGGCGCCTGGGTGGCTCAGTCGGTTAAGCGTCTGCCTTTGGCTCAGGTCATGATCCCAGGGTCCTGGGATGGAGCCCCGCATCGGGCTCCCCGCTCCGCGGGAAGCCTGCTTCTCCCTCTCCTACTCCCTCTGCTTGTGTTCCCTCTCTCACTGTGTCTCTCTCTGTCAAATAAATAAAATCTTTTTTTTAAAATAGTATATGACTCAAAATTCTCGTTTGATTAAATTCTTGACAAGCGTTCCTATAATTTATATAATACAAATGTACAACATGAACTAAAGTGTACCTTTTCTAAAAGATAATTATGGTATATAAGCATGATTTATTTAGATAATTCACAACTATATTTTGTTAATCAATTATAGATTTTTTAAGTTGTGACTGTTTTCTTTCCTTCCAGTTAGTAAAAATTTCAAATTCCGAAATCTGCAAATAACACTTTCTAATGTGAAAAGATATTTTAAAAATATTACAGCAGTCCTGTTGTCAGGTAAATTTTAGAAAAGATGACAAAAATTAGAGTTCTTCAACATAAACGAAATTCAAACATTTTGGGTCACCTGGCCGGCTCAGTTGGCAGAGCATACAACTGTTGATCTCGGGGTTGTGAGTTAGAGCCCCACGATGGGTGTAGAGATTACTTTAAAAAAAAAGTTTCATGGGGCGCCTGGGTTTGGCTCCGGTCATGATCTCAGGGTCCTGGGATCAAGCTCCTCATCAGGCTCCCTGCTTGGCGGGAAGCCTGCTTCTCCCTCTCCCACTCCCCCTGCTTGTGTTCCCTCTCTCTGTTTCTCTCTGTCAAATAAATAAATAAAATCTTTAAAAAATTGTTTCAGACATTTTGAAAGAGTAGAATCAGTAGAAATATAAACGGTCCTCAAATATATTCATTCCACATAATTAAAAGTGAAAAAATACTTGAAATTTACTTCCTAAAGTATCATTACCCCATTATAAAAATATGTAAGAAATACATAATTTTTTGGCTTCAAAGCTCTGCAAAAAAACTGCTTTATTTAAGAAACTGTTTATTGGAAATCTGAAAGCCAGAAAAAAGTAGAATGTGGTTTATATATGTCTGACAATTGAAGAAACTAAGTTACAGAATCTAAAAAGTTTTTTTTTAATGAAACTAGGACTAGAAATGTCCCTTCAATCCTGTTTTCACAAACACAAAATCATCTATATTTGAGCCAGTTAATGGTCCTGAAAGGTAAAATAATTTACAGAGGCTCAGTACATACCTTTTCCTCTATGTGGGAGGTTATAACTTGTCTTTAGTGTCAAAGTTGGAGCACATTATCCCATGTATGTCCTAAAGGGTCTTTGAATCATAACACTGGGAGTCATACACTTCATCTCTTTGTACAGGTAACAAAATAGTTTGGCATTTTACCACTCTGGGTTAAAACCTACCACCTGACCAAAGTACATAGCTTTTCAATTAAGTTCTCTCCATAACTGGAAATTAGGCTTCATTCCATGCTGTGAATCTTTTAAAAGAAAAAATGGAGAAGAAAGTCGAATTGTGTAATAGCATTGTACCATGACAGATGGTAGCTACACCTGTGGTGAGCATGCCATAAGATAGATGTTGACTATGAGTGAGTACACCTGAAACCAATGTAACATTGTGTCAACTATCCTCAAAAAATTAAAAAATTAGAAAGTGGAATGGAAACAGGTAAATTGAAATCACTTCCAGCCACAGCCAATTCTTCAGGTATTAAGTTCACAACAGTTCCTTCTAAGGAATATTAAACATACTTTTTAAATTCCCTAATTCGACCCTTTTCCTTGAAATTTCAGTTTCTTTGCTCTAGACACAGCACGCTTTTCCCTCTATTTTGTTGAACTGGAGTTTACTGGGATTCCATTTCAGTTAAAGGAAGTTATTTGATTTCGTGTATTTGGGCTCCATGAAAATTCGAACGCGTGGCAAAACTGGGGGGCTTTAAGTTAATCACATAACTAAACTCTGTGGCTACCGCCATTCCACGGATCGTCCCCCGATCAATTCTATTTCGAACCACAGCAGAACCCCAAGCCTGCCAGCCTGCACAGGGGTGACGGTTGTGAGAGAAACACCCCTTACTTCTGCGCAATAACAGGGCAGCAAACGACCGCTACTCTGTGGGAGGAACTGCAGTTGTCACTAGTTGAGAGGACGGGGCGCACCTGCCCAACAACAGAAACTTAAGTACCGGAACCTGGCAAACGCTTGCAAACAGTGACCAGTACAAGAGCTCACGGAGGGAAACTCCCCGACTCCCACGCACCCAAAACCTCCCACTCAGCGGAGCACTTTGAAACCCGCCCACCGGAAGTGAAGCCGGAGGAAACGCCACGTCGAAAGCGGGGGTAAACGTAAGCGTGACGACGTCAGGCCTTTCCTTCCGGCGATGGGTGGTCGGGAATCGCGAGGGGAGGCGGGGCGAAGGCGGGGCTTGGGGCTGGTGGAAGCTCTGGTGGGTAGGTGGGTTCAGACCGAGGGGACTACGGGTCGGCGTTGGGCTCAGTGGGCTCGAAACAAAGGACTATCCGGTTGGGACTCGGCGCGGTGCCTCCTGACCGGTAGCTGAGCGGCTGATCGAGCCTTCTCGGCCAGCCAGTGCCCTCGCCGCGCGGTCTCAGAAGGCTTCTCCTCGGCTCCTTACAGCCAGCGCCGTGGTGGGGGGCCCGGCACAGCGGCACCTGCTGCTGAGGGACCCCGTGGCCCGCCCAAGGTGCTCATGATGGGGCTGATCTTCGCTAAACTGTGGAGCCTCTTCTGTAACCAAGGTGAGAAGGATGGAGCTGCGCAACGGCTCAACTCCAGGGAGGAGGGTCCGGCCGTTTTAGGGGACAGCCGGAGGCAGGGCTGTCGGTGGACACAAATGTTCCTGAGACGCAGAGAAGTAATTTTCTCGAGGGGGCGGGTAGAAACTCGGTATTTTAGGCTGGGAGAAGGTGCAGGAGAGACTGGATGTGTGGGAGAAATGAGGAGTGAAAAGAGGCATTTGGGAGCCCAGAGTCCAAACTAAGAATTTTTGGATTTTAGCGAAGCAAAGCGGAAAGCACCTAGTGATACCTGGAGGCATTTTGAGGGTCTTTTCTATCTCTAATTAAGCATCCTGTGGCTTGCCCCAAGGTAAGTGTCCGCCCAGAAACCTATCAGCTTTTTTTTTTTTGTTTTTAATTATTATTACTAGTGCTGCTTTTTTGCCTGCAGTGGTCTTGAAGCCAGTGCGGCTTCACGTTCTCTCTGATTTCGCCTGCTCCTCAGACTTGGGCATGAGTTGTCCTGTGAGATGCACGGGTTTCCGGAAATCTGCATCCTAAACCCTTTATTCCTTTCTTAGGTATTAAGAGAACTAAATGCTTTTGGTCCTTCTGTATAGGAGATTGCGTGTCCGTAATTAGTCTGGAACAGGCTATGAGACATTTACAAGTTGGAAGTCCAAAGGGCCAAGAAGTTGTAAAACCTGTTCTGAGTCAGAGAATGAGATGTAATGTCTTCTGAAGAGAGAAAATACACGACAAAAAAAGGGCCTGGCGATAGATAAAGTTTTAGACATTCTTTGAAGAGAATGCTTTCTTAGTAATTGTATCTACTTTTTAAATTCATTTTCGTTTTCCATTTAATACCCGACATAATATAAGCCAATGTTTTATAATGATACCAGTTGTTACTGCCAATGTGGTATTTTTTTTCCCCTGGATTTGAGAAGTCGTGAAGAAAATGAAATGGTTTTAGTTCATTTGTTCCGTAGATAAGAACACTAAAATAGTCTTTTCCAAAGTTATAAATATGGATATATGTATACACATTTCCAAATATGTGTATATGTGCAATTATATGTATAGATGCAATTACCACCGATATCACACTTCAGGTGATTTCAGAGTGGTCGGAGTTTAACTTCTGAAGGATAGCTATACATTTAATACAGGCTTTTTCAGCAGTTTATATTTTCTAGTCCTCGCTACATGAATTCACTACTATATGTGAAGCAGTATTTTAACACATGTTAAAAAGTATAAAGATCAACACAATTATCTGCTTATCTTTTCCCATAGTTTAAGAAACAAAACATTACCAAAGTCTTTGTTTCTCCTTGTGTTACCCATCCAATTCCTCTTTCTCTCATTTTATTACTGTTGTTTTATTATTATCTTATTGAGCCTTCCTTAATTGCCTTAATCAGACTAGAAGGGAACAGAGGATGTAGGAGATGAAGAAAAACATTTATGGGCTGCTTAAAGTCCCATATTGTTCAGGCCTCTTAAATCCCCATTACTATTTATAATTTTTCTTTTAACTTTCCTGTTAAAAATTTAGAGCCGTGGTTAGCCACTCATTTTATCCTCATTCATTCATGCAGCTAACGTTTAATCAAAGGCCATCACCAGTCTTCAGTTAGGCATGGGAGATACAAAGATGAAAAACAAACAGAAAAGATAACATAGTGACTCACAAAGTACTCAAAGATCAAATCAGTGTGGTAAGTTTTTTAACAGATATGTATAAAAGTGTGGTGATCATCACCAAGAAGCAAGTGATTAATTTTTCTCACGTGGTTCCTGGAAGACTTTACTGAAAAAGGTATACTTGTACTTTACTGTATGTGGGAATTTACTGGGCATGCTAAGCAGACTGAGTAGAAGGGGCATATTATTCTAGGCTGAAGGACTAATAATATGCAAATGGGAGAGGAATCAAATACTTGGGTACATTGAAGGAAGCTGAAAATAGTTTAGTTTGGCTGTATCTTAGTTGGCCTGTGGGGGAGTTAGAGTTGAGGTTGGAGAGGTAGCCCCTGGAACCGGATTACAGAGGGCCTTGTGTGTCAGCCGACTAAGACATTAAACTGTACAGAGCCGTTGAAGAGATTGCTCATTGTACGTTATTTTTTTTTTTTTTTAAGATTTTATTTATTTGACAGAGAGAGACACAGCGAGAGAGGCAACACAAGCCGGGGGAGTGGGAGAGGGAAAGCAGGCTTCCCACTGAGCAGGGAGCCCGATGCGGGGCTCGATCCCAGGACACTGGGATCATGACCTGAGCTGAAGGCAGATGCTTAACGACCGAGCCACCCAGGCGCCCCTCATTGTATGTTATTTGTAAGCTGGGGAATGTTATCAGACTGATGCTTTAGTCCTGTATTTTTACTTTCCATATCAACAAAATTAACTGACAATCTCAGCATTTTCCATTTTCACCGCTATACTGCAACTAATCCAGAGATACTCAAATCACTCAGTCTTGGTTTCATATTAGAATAATAAGCCCATGGCCCTATCTCAGACCAGTTAGATCAGAATGGGGCAGGGTGGCCTGGGCATCACTGCCTAGAGGATTCAGATTTGCAGCCAGAGTTGAGAACTCCATATCTGCTCCTTTCCCTTATCTGTTTTTCAGTATTTGCCTCCCATCTTTTTTTCCTGTAGCATTTTACAGCGCAAAGCATCTTCTCATAAATTTGATACCTTTCTGGGAATAAGTATGCTAAAGCGTGGTTGTCTAAATAAAACTATGACAAAGTACACAGTCTCAGCAATTTTGTATTGCTTAATTATAAGCTAGAAAACATTACTTGGATGCAGTTAGCAATAACGGAAATAATTTCAAATCTGATTATCTTTACAAAGTTATGAATATATCTGTTCCAGTACATATGTCCATATTTTTTAATAGTATGCATATGTGGAAATTTTAAACATTATCATTTGTCTTTTTTTAAGATATAATTGATGTAGAACCTATTAGTTTCAGGTGTACTAATCATTTGTCTTATGGTAGAAGAGAAATTAGTACTTTCTCCCTTATCATCCCAATATAGCGTTTTGGTTTACACACACCGTGTTTTCATTATTGTGACTGTAAAATTTAGTTACTCCTGAGCCAGAGTGTGCTAGAACTATGTTCCCCTTTTTCCTACAACTTTTTCCCCCTAGAGTAAAGAATTACAATATCTCTTTGCCTTAGTTTTCTTTGTATGTTTGACTAAGTCAGTTCATTCTATCCCAAAACTCTGTACAAAGTTTCCCCACATCACACTTAATCAGATGACTTATCCCTCCTCCCAACTCCCTCGGTATTCCCACAAAGTTTCCCCACATCACACTTAATCAGATGACTTATCCCTCCTCCCAGCTCCCTCAGTATTCCCTTCTGCTCCAAACTGAGCTTGCTTCCCTCTGCCTGCTCCACATCTGTGCCGGACTTGTCTTTGCAGTCATTCCAGGAATTTCCTTTGCATTTCTGTTTTATTAGAACTTAGGTCTTTCTTGCTTTACTCTTTTTTTTTTTTTTTTGAAGTACATCGTACAGAAATTCCCTGCAAAGGTGTCCAAAACAGTAATTTTTTTTTTTTTTTGCAATTCCAAATGCCTGAAAATGTATTGGTCTCTCTTCACTTTTGATTTATAATTGGGCTGAATATAAAATTCTGAGTTGGAATACATTTTTTTCAGCAGGCATTTGAAGATATTGTCACGGTCCTCTAGCTCCCAGTGTTGTTAAAAAGCCCAGTATTTCATTCTTATTCTGAGTGTTTCTCTTTCTAGTAGATTTTAGGATTTTCCATTTATCCCTGGTATTTTTTAAATTTGCAAGGTATGTGCCTTGTAGTGTGACTTTTTTGGTTCCTTATGCTAGGCCCTCTGGACCTTTTCAACATAAAGTTGGATGTTTTTTGGTTCTAAGAATTTTTTTAATTAAATTTCTCTTAGGATGTTTTCCTCTACTTTTCTGGAAATCTTATTGGTTGTATTGTGCTACTTGATTATCTAGTATTCTTTTCCATTTTACTGTCTTTCTTTCCTCAGTTCTACTTTCTGGGGTATTTCTTTTGTCTTTTAATCTTCCTGTTGAATATTTTGATTCCGCTATCATATTTATGCCAGTTTATTCATTTGCATCATGACAAGTTGTAATATGTGAATACTCAAGACTTTTTGTAGACATATTTTCATTTCTCTTAGACGAGTATCTAGAAGTGTAATTTTTAGGTCATAGACTGGATATATGGTTAGTTTAGTAAGAAACTATTAGATTGTTTTCCAAAGTTTTATACCATTCTTATATTCTCACCAGTGGCGTTTGAGACATCTACTTTTTTTTTTTTTAAGATTTATATTTTTTACCTTTTACCTTACAGAGAGCCTGGGCACGCACAGGCAAATTGGCAGGGGAGGGTGGAGGGTGGACAGAAGGAGAGAAGGAGACTCCCCACTGAGTGTGGAACCCAACACAGGGCTCAATCCCATTACCAATGAGAGCATGACCTGAGCAGAAACCAAGAGCCAGCTCCTTAACCTACTGAGCCACCCAGGCGCCCCTGAGACTTCTACTTTTAACATCTTTACCAACAGTTGACGTTGCCAGTCTTTTTTAGTTACTCGGTTAGATGAGTAGTGATATCTCATTTTGGTTTTAATTTGCATTTTTCTGATGACTTGGGTGTTAAAGCACTTTTCACGTGCTGACTGGCCATGTGTATTTCTTTTGCAGAATGTTCAGATCCTTTTCCCATTAAATTATTTTTTTGTCTATAAAATTATATATATAGTTATTTATATCTTTTGGAATTGAGTCCTTTGTCAGATACATGTTCTGTGAATATTTTCACCCAGTCTGTGGCTTCCTTATTCATTTTCTTAATGCGGGTTTTGCTGAGTGGAAATTTTAAATTTTGGTGAAGTCTGATTTTCCAACTTTTTTTTTTTTTAAAGATTTTAATTTATTTAGTTGACAGAGAGTTAGAGCCAGAGAGCCCAAGTAGAGGGAATGGTAGAGG